GGATATATATATATATATATATATATATATATATATATATATATTATGCATATATATATTATGCATATATATATTATGCATATATATAATGTATGTATGTGTTTGTGTGTGTATGTGTGTGTGTGACATTATGCAGAATGAGCAGGTTGTATTTATGCATTACATAAAACTCTAGTTTGTGTATCAAGTAGATATAATACTAGCCAGCATCCCCGAAAGGCAAAATCTTCAAATTTAAACACAGAAGAGGGAGAAGAATGCCAGATCAATTACATGAACCAGATCTTTAACAAGATCTTCACCATACTAAGGATGACCTCTCCATACAGATTCAAAAGGCAGACATAAACCCAATAGACATGACTCAAAAAGAAGAACCCCATGAAATATCATAGTCACAACACTAAATATATAGAACAAAAATATTGAAAGTGGCAAGGGAATATACACAAGTAATGTATAAAGGAAAGCCCATCAACCTAAATGTCTATATTAAAATAGCAGAAAGAACACAAATAAATTAGTTAAGGATGCAACTCAAGAATTTTAAAAATAAGAGCAAACCAAAGACTCTATACAGCAACAGATAATAAAGGTCAAAGCAGAAAATAATGAAATAGAAACTCTAAGAGCTTGTTTTATTAGAAGATAAACAAGATCAACAGACCCTTGAAATAACTAACCAAAATAAAGAGATGACTAAGCTTAACCGAATCAGACATAAGTAAAGAAATATTATAATCATCACCAAGGAAATATAGAACATTGCAAGAGAATACTTTAAAAACCTGTTGCCCATTAAGTTGGAGAATCTAAAAGAAATGGATGAATTTCTTGATCCATCCAGACTACCAAAGGTAGATCAAGAGGAGATTAACAACCTAAACAGACTCATAACAAAGAGGATACTGATACAGTAATACAAATCCTTCTGAAGAAAAAAAAATCTAATTCTAGATGGATTGACAACAGAATTTATCCAGATACTCAAAGAACAAAATTGATGGGGAATGTACTGTGTATGTTCACCTTATTGATTATTGAATAAAGTCCTTGTTTGGCCAATGAGACAGCAAGTTAGACAGGACTAGGAGTCAAAGAGGATTCTGGGAAATGTAGTAGAGAAGTGGTGATCCAGGCAGGAAGTGACATAGTAAGGAGACTCATATTTAAGGAAGGAGAAACAGGAAGTGTCCCTTTTCCTTTCCTCTCTTCCTCCAGCAGCACAATGTGATCCACCAGCAAGACAGGGTGCCAGCAGAAGGCATCCTCTATAAGATAAGTCTTATAAAATATATAGATTTATGATAATTAAGACTGAGCTAGCAGATGAGAAATCCTAGTCATTGTCCAAGCAGCATTTGAACCTAATACAAGTTTTTGTATATTAATTTGGGCCCTAACTCAGGCCGGCGGCTGGAGCAAAGCACACACGTGGCAGTGGGGCTTGGTGGCGGCTTTTGGCGGAAAGATTTACCATAACACAAAATTTACTTCTTTTTTAATTTAAATTAGAAACAAGCTTGTTTTACATGTTAATCCCAGTTCCCTCTCCCTCCCCTCCTCCCCTGCCCCCCACCAATCCCCTATTCCATCCCCTTTCTGCTCCCCAGGGAGGGTGAGGCCTTCCATGGGGGATCTTCAAAGTCTGTCATATAATTCCTTCTTAAACCCTTCAAAAAATAGAAATTGATGCATCACTCTAACCTCATTCTAGGAAGCCAGTATTACTCTAATGCCCATTCCAGGTAAAGGCAAAAACAAACAAAGAAAAAATAAAACAGCAGTGATGAACATATATGCAAATAAAATCATTTAGCAAACCTGATTGGATTTAAGATGCACCCATGCCTGACACAGTTTAAGTTGTCAAACACATGAGATATATAGGGAAGAGGGCTAGATGAAAATTAAATGCTATTGTTATGTTAAAAGACAGCAGTAAATAACTCCTAATCAAGTCAAAAAGAACCCTACAGAATGGGAGTTAAACTATGACAGGTATCATTTTGCCAGCTATATCTGACAGAGGAAAAATATCTAAAATATATAAAGAACTCAAAAGACAAAGAGTCAAAGAAACAACACAGTTAAAAATGAACTAGTAATCTAAAAAAATCAATTATCAATAGAAGGAATAAAAAATGGTTAATGATCAGACGTCGGGAGCCTATTTCCCATGGAGGGATACTCTCTTAGCCTATATACACAAGGGAGGGCTTAGGCCCTGCCCCAAATGATTTGACAGATTTTAATGATCCCTCATGGAAGACCTCACCTTCCCTGGGGAGTGGATGGGGGATCTGATGGGGGGTCGTTGGGGAGTATGAGATGATGGGAGAGAGGGGAACTGAGATTGATATGTAAAGTAAGACTGTTTCTAATTTAAATAATACATAGATATGGAAATACCTCAAAAAGTGTTTATCTTCCTTAAAATAGAGAAATGCAAATTAAAATAAATTTCTATTTTTCCCTTCGTCAGAATGGCTAAACTAAAGAAAACAACTGATAACAATTTCTATAAAAGTTTTAGAGAAAGAATTCACATTTACTGTTGGTAGGAATACAAATTGGTGCATCCTCTCTAGAAATCAGTATGTTGAATCCTCAAATCCATTTTTTGGAATAGGCAGAAAGTGGAGGCAACCTGCATTTTCTTCAAAAAATGAAAAGATAATGAAATGTGGTTAAATATATAAAATTGATTACATTCAGCTATAAAGAAAAAAATGAAATCAAGAAATTAGCAAGTAAACAGCTGTACCAAACAGACATTATATTGAGTGAGGTAAGCCAGACCCAGAAAGACAAATGCCAAATATTCTCTCTAAAGCATGGTTCCTAGCTTCAAATGCTCAGATATATACATACAACATGGAGTATCCACAGAAACCAGGAAATAATAAAGGGTCTGTATGTGATGGTGGTTGCAAGGGGACTAGCAAACTATACTTGATATGAAGAGAAAAACAAAATCATAAGGAGGATGATCTACCTAGTGCGGAGGCAGACACAGAGGTCAATACAGAAGGAAGAGGAAAAAGAGAAAACTCGAAGGTTCCTCAAGGAATCATGTTATTTTATCTTTATCTAAAATACACATAACATATATAAGGGATTATATACATACATAAATACACATAAATAAAGATATTATTATAATTTAACATTGCATATTATATATTATTCTATCTGTGAATAGAACACAGTGCAAATACACAAATAGTGTAAATAATTGTATAAAAACATATACAATATAATTATATAAGGAAGTTAAGCCACTTGGGCTGGTAGTGCTCCTGACAAGAACAATAAACAAACAAAACCCTCAGTGTCAGGCACAAAAATAGATGGTCAGTTTAATCCAAGTGATTCCCAGAACACCATAAATTATTGATTTAGCTTTTGTTTGTATCTCAGTGTTTAAGGGCTGAATATTCCATATACCACACAGAGGGCTCAGTAGATTCAAGCTGCGTTTGCTTTCCTGTAGTCTAGCTTCTATGGTCCCAGAAAATTCTATGTAAACAAGGGAGAGATGCAATCAATCAGTCTTTCTGAGTTGCAACACCAAAGAAACATGACAATTACCAGAATGAGAAGATGCATGTGAAGGTGTTGTGAATGGCAATCAAGTCAGTGAGAAGGAACAACTGCTTAACTGGACTTAAGATTCACTCAACAAGAGGAAAATCATGCCTGGTACTGGAAACCTAGCCATCTTCCCTAAGCTGGCGAGGCCATGAACGTTAGAAAATAATACTGCCTCTTTAATAGACTGCCATACTTCCTTAATTATATTCCAAATCCTATCCTTATACCCAAAGGTAAGTATAGCTACCATGCTTCATCAGAACCTCTCTTTGTAACAAATGGAGACCATCACAGAAAGCCACAAATGGACACAACGCAGAGATCAAAGGATCTTGAGGTGACAAGACAGATTTATATTACAAATCTTACATCTCTAGCTTAGAAAACAAAAAAAGAGGGAGCTGAAAGTTTTAAGAGTCAGAATACCAGAAAGTCTTCTGTGAAACAGTCCATCCTAGAAATGGTTGTGTACATGTTACTGGAACATTGACAATATCAATGAAAATGCTAATATGGAAAGGGAAATTTTTCCAGTGCCTAGAAAATATACTATAAGCAATTAATGACTGTTGAGAGATTTAGCTTTTCCCAAGGATAAGTCCCCTTATTGGTTGTC